TAAGAATAGACAATTAGTCCCTTTCTACGAATAAAGAGTTTAATTGACTTACTTTTTTGTTTAAAGAGGTATTTTAGGGGTCTATTGTAAATCAGTGGATTTTATTTTCTTAAATACAAAGACAAATGTTTGATCTACCGAAATATTAAAGGACGATCTTCTCCCAACCTTAAAGTAAGGAGTGAGGTCCAAAGGAACGGTCAATTAGAAAAAGAATGGTCCTTAAAAATAGACGTATATGTCCAAATCAATTTTTTCAAGAGTTATATGCACGCAATATCCGAAATATTGTGAGTGTCCATAGACTATGGCAACCGGTTACAATCACGAGGACTCAGCAAGTTTGCAACTCAATGGTACTTATAAAAACCCCACCCTAAATAACGAGTACTATGAAGAAATATAAAATGTTCTCTGGTTGAACCAAACATAAAATAAACGAATCTTTCGTGAAATACTCTAGAATAACATATATTCATAATGTTATAATTTGAAGGAATAGCACTTTGTTCGATTTTTATAAAATTAAAACTGTTGCGCTCGACGTTACACGCGTAAATTTAAGTTTAAAATTTAATAAATTATTTGTTATTTTTTTTACATTTAGTCCACGGCATTCTAGACTTAGTAATTAGTGTTAATTAAAAAAAATATTTGTCATTTATAATTTAACAGAATTAAAATATTTATTTTATTTAAGCAACATTAAATAATAATTACAGTTGGAAAAGAAAACGGGATTTTTATATGTTTCTTCACTAAATAAAGATTATGTATATGTTAGTTACAGTATTTTGAGTACTTATGAATTAGAAATTTTCTTCAACCACATGTTGTTTCAATATTCAAATATCGAATAATGAAGGACATAGAAAATATACAAGAATTTTAATTTAGTTTTCGCTCCCGAACTTTAATTAAAAAAGTACGCGAGAAACGCTAACTTTACAAAATCATCTCGAGCCCCCCAACTGAGGTACTTTAATAAGAGCAGATAAGATTCACACAGAGAGTTACGGAACCCATTATTTAAAGGCTTAATCGCTTCGTTACCGTGCCTACCCATCTCCGCCGTATTTGTAGGTTCAAATAGATTCTCTACACGACATACGAATAATTTAAAGTCACTTTCAAGACATTCATAATGCCGAGACAAAAACTATGTGAAATCGCAAAATCCAATCATACGGCAATTGCTCGTAAATTTTTAGGATCTCCGACGGCGTCATGGAGGATCTCACCAGGGAATATTGTTTACAGGGTGACCTTGACGAGCGTCTTACCTATGTAGCTGCACATGGTCGGTGGTGGCCGGGCTCCGGTGAGCGCGCGGCCATCTCTGGTTTCACGCCGGTGTCATCACACCCTGGGCCTCCTCACCGCACCACACATATCAAGCTCGGGCTCCTGTGTCGGCGCGGAGACGTGCGCTTCTCGCGGTGCCCGTTCATTCACTGAAAGCCCGGGCGAGAGCTACAGATTGCGCAGGCTCGGACATGCGTTACCGATGCCAGCTCCCTCTGTTTTGGTCCACGCATCCTGCCGGGTTGGGCATGCAGACTCCGAGGTCACAAGGTCGTAGGTAAACTGATAGCCACCGATACGGTAAACATGATCCGTGTGATCTCCCGTCTCAGATGTAACGATATTATATTGTGTCTCACGAGTAATCGCCGAGATGCGACTTCTTTGGTTAGGGCTTAGCGATTAGGGGACATGCGTTAGCAAAATGTAGAAAAAATAGTCTTTATTGTAAGTACATAAAGGCGATTGATGCCAGTTAGTACAATGGTTGTCCTTACACCATTGTTGTAAATGCTAACTATCGACTTTGTTAGGTCGATCTCGACGAGGTGTTCCTAAATACTATCATGATTAAGTACCAAAGAAATTGCCAAGAGACGTTTTTTTAATAGGTAGATAATGATATGGTGCTCCTACCTGCGCTAATGGTATACGTTAGCGGGGCACCAGTGGAGGATGATAAGAAGAGGTCAGGTAGGTTAACCCTTCGTGACAAATTCACTAATAATTTATCATGCTGGTTTCCAGGGGGAACCGCGTCGAGGTCAACCTGACATACATTGCTAGCACTGAGGTCAACAGTCCCCATTACTATCAATCTCCTTTCCCCCTGCCATGAGGCGTTATTTGACTATATGTCAACCCTATCATTTCATCCTACTTCGCGCCGGTATCCCGCCCCTCACTTCCCCTTGGTTTACCATTAAAGTGCGTAAGATCAGCGTTGCAAAGCATACCCCGTTTTAGGCCAAAATTAGTAGAAGGAACTACCCCAGTCCCGCTTTTAAGGGTAGAGCCCTAGATAGACTTTGTAAAAAGTCCTAATTATACATTTACAGTCGGCAAGCAACTTGCTTTGTAAACTATGTTTCGATTAAAACTGAGATAAGGCAATCAAATAACAGAATAAGTTAGGAATGGCAACGCACGAGTAGTATCACGGGCGACACATTTTTTTGTTGAGGATTTTGGGCTATTGTCAGGTGCTATGACAAGTACTGCGACTTGCATAGATTTATTATGCTCATCCGTTTTCAAAGTTCGCTAGTTAGACCCACCAGGGACAAGAATTGAAGGATATTCGGAGGAGCAATGGTTTTTGGTTCCTCAGGAGAGAGTGTATACTTTCCAAAGGAAATTATTTTGAGCACTATCATTGTCCGTTAACTACCACCTCTGTCATAGCGTTAGGTTGGCTGGAAGAGATTCTTATCAGAGATAAGCCCACTATTGCTCTCATTTTTGTATAACATCTTTTTATTTGATATTGTTACAAGTGCAATAAAGTATATATATATATATATATATTTTTTTATATATTACGCACTCAGTTTCCATAGACTGAGGGTACATACTTTTTTTGCATTTTATTTTTATATCCAATATTTTTTTCTTTTCCTCGCTGTTCTTACTCAATGAAAATATGTATTGTGGCTTCCCGCAATTTATCTTATATATATATTGTTTTTTTTTTACTTATAATAACTTTATGTCCGTTGTCGACGTCGATCATCAGTTGAGACGTCAGCTTGTTTGTCATTCGATTTACATAAAAAAAATTTAAAATTCACTCACTACGGCCCAGATGAGAGACTAATTGAGAGAATAGAGTCCATATTACATTACTCCACAGATAAAATAATGATAAAATGTACCTTTCTAACCTAGATGGGGTAATCGGAGAAATTGTCAGAGATACGCATGAAAAATCAGGCAACGCTGGGCGCGATCACAATTACCTTATGCGTTACCACACCGTCGTCGCGTCGCTACAAAATGTGGTCGTCAGCATCACACTAGCTGTAGATAACGACTGCAAAATGTTATAGATATAAATAAAAAAAGGAGTATCTGTTTGTAATATTGAAATAACCGTTTTTTACTACATATGATTATAAATATGGTACATACACCAAAATAACATTTTTGTCTGTCTGTCTGTTTGTTCTGGCTAATCACTGAAATGGCTGGACCGATTTTGACGGGACTTTTTTTGGCATATATCTGAGGTAATAAGGAGTAACTTAGGCTACTTTTACTTTAGAAAAATTCTTCCATTTTAGAAAAATAAATTTAAACTCCACGCGGACAAAGTCCCGGGAACGGCTAGTTTTGGTAATGGTGCACCCGCCTGCGCTAAGTTTACACTGGCGGGGCACCAGTGGAGGATGATAAGGTGAGCATGAGGTCAGGTCAGTCAGCCCATCGTGACAAATTCACCAGAAATTTATCACGATGGTTTTTGGAGGTCACGATGGCACATTGCTAGTAATGGAGTCATGAGTCCACATTACTAACAAAACCCTTCCCCCCACTTAGCTTGGGACTTTTTTTTTTTTTATGGATGATAATGGAATGGTGCACCCGCCTGCGCTAACGGTTTACGCTGGCGGGGCACCAGTGGCCCATCGTGACAAATTCACCAGGAATTTAACACGATGGTTTCCAGGGGGAACCGCGTGGAGGTCAACCTGACATGGCACATTGCTAGTAATGGAGTCATGAGTCCACATTACTAACAAAACCCTTCCCCCCACTTAGCTTGGGACTAGATGGCGCTGTGTGAGTTGTACTGTGTTTATATTATTAGTTTATTTACATTAAAATGGACATCTGATTAAGATCTAACAGGACAAATAATTTTACTGTATAAATTGTCAACTCCTATTACATTAAGTAACATTTACGAGAAAAAACTTATTTTGTTTCAGTATTTTGATGTGCATATGTATTAAACAGTACCTAACAGGATTATTTAGATTTTACAGCATTACTGTGGAATGTGAATTGCAAAAGAAAAAAAACATTTATTGACAACCATTGCATTCCAGGGATGACCACGCGGAGGTAATGAAGGACTCGATTCGAATTATTCACACACTATAATTTATAATAGAACCATTTTCGGTATTAACAAGATAGGAAAAATATCGAGCCCTTAGAACAAATACAATATGAAAGAACAAAATATTGCTGCACTTAATTACTTATTAAAAAAAAATCTTACAAGTATACTTCAATTTATTTAAAAACTATAATGGAAACCCCATTTATTTCTTGCAAATTAATTTCGGTTATTAACTTCAAGTTTAAATTTAAAAAAGTAATTGCGACTGATTCATAGGCACCCTTTTTATGGATTATTTACTCGTAACAGTAAAAAGTACCTTTCTAATAGTTATTTTTTATTGTTTATAAATGCTAACTTTAATAGATTTGTTAAAGTTCCTTATAATTACTTTCTGGGTATAAAGGAACTGCACATAAGACAGATAATAAAGTTTCAGACAATGTTACTAGTATCAAATATGTTGTGACCCCAATAACACAAACTTAATTTTCAACAACACATATCTTGTCATATCTATATTATTCATTTTATTTAATAATTAATTTACAAGCAGGTTATAATTAATTATTAAATTATTTATTACAAATTTCAACATTCATTAACATAATATTTGTTTTGACATACATTTTTTTCGCATATGACAACACTGTATAGAGTTTCCTTTTTTATTTCGGTTCTTTGCCGTGTTGTTTAGGGTACGTTGTTTTATCCTTAAAAATCGTAACATTACGCTTGTTAATATCTTTAAATTTAAGGAAGTGTCTTTCTAGAAAATATTTCGCTTTACACAGCATTAATATTTTCCATAATATGATTATGGATTATAAAATTATTCGCCGGGACAATTTGACGTTTAGCACGCATAGGGAGATGATAACCTAAACATTCAGTCGTATAAAACAATAAAACGTGGTATTTTGGCTTTTCAGCGAAGAACATCGGAATGAAGTACAATAAACTTGTCACATCCTCGCGGAGGAAAAACAGGAAGAGGCACTTCAGTGCCCCTTCACACATCAGACGAGTTCTTATGTCAGCACCTCTCTCCAAAGAACTCAGGCAAAAGTTTAACGTTAAATCTATGCCAATCCGAAAGGACGACGAAGTTCAGGTACGATTATAATATGATATACATGAAATATTTATAAAGCATCGTTAATAAATTTTGCATTAAATTTCGGATTTTGTGTATAGTGGGTAACTGAGTGCAAGATAAAATGATGATGACAAACCATTCACAGACTGCTGACGATTGCTGGCTAGTGACGGACGAGCTGAAGGTTTTCTTTAGCAAGTCTGGAACAAGCCATGCTAGTCAGTACCATGGTTCAAAAATTGGCTCTGATTATTTTGCCTCGAGACTCAATACGCTTTAAAATAGCTTGTTAAATGTATATTTTATTTATTACAATTGTTAGAAACTTATATGATTGGTTATATATGGTTATTGTTTGTGTATGCAGGTTACAGTTGCCTATAACCTTTATACTACAAGAATTCTAACCTATGTACATGAACAAAAATCTTTATTTATATTTAATAATTAAAGTAGTAACATTTAACAATATCCACTCCACCAGTGTTACAAAAAAAAGACAAATTGTATGATGAAAATTAAATTTAACATTATTTTTAATATTTACTATGATATGTCTGTGCACTCTAGATAATTTAGAAGAAAACCTGGTGTTTGTTAATCTAAATAGAAGATCACATCAAATTTCATTAAGATATATTTAGACGTTTAGTTGTGAAAATGAAACAATTAATATAAGTTTAAGATCTGTGAAGTGAACATTTATTTATTTTTGATTTCTTTACATACGGTTCTATATGGGTAAAAGCCTCACATACATTAAGTCTTTATTAATTGTTATTGAGTTAGAAAGTGTTGGTTCATTGTGTAGATTTTACAGGGGGGCCTACATTCAGCAGTTGCCGTCTCTGGGCTGAAATGATGATGAATTTTTAGTTATTTAAATCTACCAATCTTACCAATAAAGTCCGATATTAAAACCAGAACATTCTATATAACTCTCTGTTCTCACAATTATTCTCAGGTTGTGCGTGGTCACTACAAAGGTCAGCAAGTTGGTAAAGTAGTCCAAGTCTACCGTAAGAAGTTTGTAGTATACATTGAGAGGATTCAACGCGAAAAGGCCAATGGCGCCAGTGTTTATGTGGGCATCCATCCTTCAAAGGTATTAATAATAATAATAATCTTTATTTATGGCTCACAAGGAAACCTACAGTATGAAAAAGATAATATATATATTTAAACTTACAAGTTACTCCTTGTTGGAGTCTGGAGTCTGAACTAGGTTGAAACCTGTATCACAGACCTAATCAGATACTTAATTTCTTTCTGACTACACATAATATTTTAGAAGTTTTATTCACAGTATATTATACATTGAGATAAAGAAATAAACTTTTTCACATTTTTTTTATTCTACTACTCATTTGGAACACAGACTTTTTGAATCACAAGAACTAGAAAGAAATTAGCATGTTAATCTTATAAAAAATTTTTGTTCTAAGTACACATTAACAAGGATTAGTCATGTGACAATTAACATATAAAACAAGGCACATTTTTTGTGCAATCAGATAATATTGACAATGCTATGAAGAGAAAATATATGGGCTATGATCTATCAATAAACTATAATATATATTTCAATCTATTCTAATGCTGGCCGCAGCTGGCCCTTAGAGCTTCGCCAAATGTTATGGAGCGAGTGCAGATGGCACTCTAAACTGGGAAAAGACTAGGTTAAGATCAATTCCTGCCTGACCTATAATTAAAATAATACAATGAATATATGTAAAACTACAGTTATTACTAAAACTCCCTAAATGTATGCAATGAATTCCCCATAACAACTAGGAATAGTATTCAATAATGTATCATTCCTAAGAATGATACATAATAGAAGAAAATATATTTATTAGAACACTATATATACACATGAAGTTAATGGTAACCCTATTTAATATTGGAAGTACTAAATTTTGTGAATTCAGCATGAAATATGTTATGAAATATCTACTATAGTATTTTCAATGCTAGATTTTTATGATTTGATATTTATATGATTATTAAATGCACTTAAGCATGTCAAACATTGGTATATCACAAACTACTTGTCCCTACTATAGTTACTTGTTTGATAATATGGTCTGTGTTATGATCACCTGCCTGTGTCTGGTATTATAGGCCAGGCACCAGGGAAAATTGTTAGGATGAACATGAAGTCAACCCATTATGGAGAATTTACCACAATGATTTCCGATGATGGGGGATTGAGTGGAAGTTGATCTGCCATTGAAGATTATTAGCATTGGGGACACTATAACTTGTAATTAACCATCCCTTGCCTTCCCAACCCTGATGTGTATTAGACACTTGATAAAACTGTTCTGTACATTTTTATAATGAAACTAAACAAATATAGTCCAGATTTACACAGTGGGTTCACATAAAGATACAAAACGATTCTCAATGACAACAAAACTCCAAATACACAACCTAGCAGTTATTAAAAATGATGATAACTTTATGCCTTAGACTATGTCTACATTTCTTACAGATGCCTGATGTTACGACTGAAGGCTGAAGTTTGAAAGGGCATGGCTACTGCTGAGACACTTCCATGGCTCTGATTTTTTTTTTAATCTATATTATTATGATTAACATATTCATACTTTATTTTAATCTGTGATTTCTTTTTACCAGTGCGTTATTGTCAAATTAAAGATGAACAAGGACCGAAAAGCCATCTTGGACCGCAGAGCGAAGGGCAGACTGGCCGCCCTCGGCAAGGATAAGGGTAAATACACGGAGGAGACCGCCACCGCAATGGAAACCTCGTGAACCCTTAGTTTATAAGACAAATAAAAATATAAAAAGCAATTGTCTTTATATTTCGTCTTTATCGATCTTATCATTTTAATCTTATCCCTTCTTTTTTTTTTATTAATAATGGGATTGGGCTTGGTCTTACCTCATCTGAAGGTAAATGATGACAAGACCTAGGATGTAGTGCGCTTACCCAGAAGATATCTATTCACCATAGACTTGAAGAATCCAGGGTTGTATTTCTCCGGGAACACATTTCTTCCTACTTCCCCTCCGAAACACACTGTACCTTAACACAACCATGCTCATAAGAGTTCATGGATGTAGAAACCCCTTTGTCAGGGGTATGGGGATTGTTAGTAATGTGGACTATAATAACCGCATTGTTAGCAATGTACCATATCAAATTTATCTTCACATGGTTCCCCGGAAGCCATGATAAATTCATGGTGAAATTACCACGATTGGATAACTGACCTAACCTTATGCTCATCATTATCGACTGTTGTCCCACCAGCTTAAACCGTTAACGCAGGCAGGTACACCATTCCATTATCATTCATAAAAAAAAACCGGTGTTATTTGTAATTAAAAGCAATATAATTTTATTGTCATATACCGACTAAAGCTCAGGTTACAAAAACTGTACTTCTAAAAATTTTTAAGATGTCAACCGCAGATGAATTTAATGGAAATGGAATTAATATTTTTTTAAATAAACTTACTATAAACACTTGAATAGTGGTATAAAGTTACCCTAAGGCTGCCCTGAAAAAATTGCTTTTAACAATAGTGCATCCTTATTATACTTATATAGATGTATTGATTAATATTTACACATAATTATTCTCTTTCACTGTATAATGCAAATAAAAGCATATTCGATTCTATCGCTCATTCGGAAAGCAGAATGATCACATGGACGGGCAAGAACTTTATATATTAGCTCTTTTAAATGTTCAACAATACTTATTTACTTAATCCGATAAAATAAATTTCATTTGAACTATAGTATTATAGAACGAAAAATTTTGTGTAACTGCCAAATAGCATGATTGTTAAAAATAAATAAATATAATAGGTACTTGTGTAGGAAATAAATCAGTCATAGTTATCAACGGTTGACTGAGCAATGGGGACCCAAGTAATTCTTATTTAATTCACCTAAGCGTACGCTACAGCTTAGGAGGACAGCTGATGAGCATCGGGAAATTAAAGCGAATACATAACAATTTTATATTTTAGAAATACACCTATATTGTATAATATCCTTGGACAATTCACACAGCGCCATCTACGTCCAAGCTAAGCAGAGCTTGTGTTATGCGTACTAGACAACTGATATAAATACATAGATACTTTTTTTTATAAATACATACACAATATACATAGAGAACACCCAGACTTATACAAACAATCATACACATTGATACAAATGTTGGTGCCGTGCGAGGAATAGAACCCGCGACTATCAGAAGTAAAGCGGTGTGCTAAACCACTAGACCACCGAGGCCGTCGCTGTATAGTTTAGATTTCGCTACAATTTATTCATAGGTATTTTAAATTAAAAGAAACTAATATAGGTACATAGAAAATTTTATTGATATAAAATGCATTGAGTAATTGAGCACCCTATTCACATAGTGCTAACAATATTCTTATATTAAATAAAAATATCTTACCAGCATTATTTTAAACGAGATAAAGGTGATACCGAATGCTTTTCCATCATAACCAAGTTTCGATTACAGTTTAGGCCACTTATAAAAAAACTAAAGTTGGTTACAGATTAATGGACTTCAGGGGCAAAAACCAACTAGGCACGAATCATAAGAACATTATATTCATATAACTCGGAAAAAAATCGTTTTCTTAATATACTGCCTGTGGAAGACCTTTTGATGCCGAAGAAGCTACCACTCACGTCACCCTGTATCGTAGGCTGCCAATATCACAGTGTGATCACAGATCATAGAGACCAGTGTAGTTTATTGCTCCGTACAGCTTGGAAGCAAAGGGCTTTGTAATAAAATATGAATTAATTATCAGAAACGCCCTCTCGTGACGAGTGGTCAAAATCACACCGTATTTAATTCTAGTTAATTCCAAATGTCTTAATATAAAACCGCTTTGCATTCGATCAACGATCAATCAGTCATAACACTGTAGTACACTTTATATACTTTTTTTTTTATAGAATAAATGTTTTTACAATAGCAATGATTTCAAAAAGTCCTATTGATCACTACGAATTATATAAAATTAATCCTTTTATAATTCACTTTAAGAGTGTTTTTAACCCCTCACAAGTACTACCTTTATGCAACTCTTAGGACAAAAATGATCTTTGAGATTGATCTGTAGTAATCCCTTATATAACTAATCTAATTATTGCTAATTAACTGGCTGATACATGTTTCTAATGAGTCTTCTTCTCGACTATAGACTATAATAATGTGTATGCAACAAGATTATTACAAATTTTGTTAACATACTATAATCCTTAATTCTAACATAGCTGTATTATTATTTATAGGTGTAATGGAAAAATATAACAATCTAAATCTGTCACATAATTGTTCATCAACTTCAAAATGAATCTAATATAATTAGAAGAAAGAATATAATTCTTCTTTTCATTTTCAATTATATGATAATTGAAAATGAATAAAGAAGGATGTTCTTTCTTCTAATTTGACGCAATATGTTTATTAATTGTTCTTTATTTGATCCAATTTCTTAATACATTCTAAATTCAAATTCAATTTTGTCTTCAATTAATGAGATTTGATACATGAAATTTTTAAATATCATATTACCTAAATAATTTATAGTTCCTGACTATATAATTATTACACTTGCTGAAAAACTAATTAATGCAAACTCGCGGAACCCTCAACACTGTCCAGCTCAAAAAAGCAATGTCCCTCCAGGAACTCATTAAAATACACATAGAAAATTTCATCCAAATCGGTCCAGCCGTTTCGGTTAAGGTGATAAATACACAAAGAATATATATATAAATATATAAGATAAGACTACATTGGCATACAGAATAAGGCCATTACAGAGAAAAATCTTTTCAAATTGTTATTTTTTTCCCATTTCACCATCAACTACATTTTTAATATTAACTGGCAGGTATATGCATGTGTTTAGATAATAGAATGTTATACAGCTACTTCAGTTTTATGGGTCTGAGCTGCCATGTTCGCCTTAGAGGCACATTTGTACCTTTTCTTCACTTCATTATTAAGACATTCCTTGTTTCTCGCTATTTCCACTGCATAGAACTGAACCCGTGGTACTAATATCGTATTCTGTTCCGAGTAATCCCCTTTAGTATCTGCTCTCATTAAGGTACCGAAACTATAATCTTCAACTATGGTTTTAAATTTCTCACAGAACACGCGCCATTTTGCTTTGTTCATATTATTCTTAATTTCTTCCTCCTTGATGTATGAGACATCTAAGTCGGGGAAGTCTTGCCTGAAATGCGTGTATATGAGGTCGTCATGTGGGGTCAACCGGAGCCATCTTGTGTCCACTGAGCATAACACCTAGAAATTAATAAAATAATTTTAATTAAATAGGCTTATGAAGTGGATCGCTGGAAGGTGATGGATGCAGCGCAGGACCGATCGTCGTGGAGATCTTTGGGGGCCTATGTCCAGCAGTGGACGTCTTCCAGGCTGAGATGATAATGACAATAATGAGGCTTAGGAATTAAGTGCTTGCTTAAATATGTCAGTTAGGATTATAGAACCAGAGATATGCTATAAAAAGTCATCTGTAGATGCTATGACATATTTATTTTTAATGGGCTGAAAAATCTGTGATTCTGTTAACATGTCAGCCACCATATACAATACTTTGTGTTTGCTCTGTTTCATCAACAACTGTAATGTGAAAGTCAATATTTTTTATTGTAGTATAAAAAATATTGACTGTGATTTGTGGCAAACAAGCATATCCCATAAATTAATAAATAGTAGCAAGTCTAGAAATTAATATCCGGCGCTTTACCACATTTAATAGAAATAAAAAATACTGTAGCTTATGATGGTCTGAAACACCAGCAATGCCAGGTGAACCTGACAATGCTGGCAAAAATTCCCCTTACTAACAATCCCTTTCTTCATATTAGTTGTTATAAATAATTATTATTGTAGTTTACATAAGAATTACAAATATCAACAACTGTCTTTAAACTAGCAGTTTTGTAGTACTTTGGCAAAAATAATATAATAGTAATTACATTGAAATAAATATCACTATGCTCCATTGCTCTCGCTGCCCACAGGTGCTCCACTGTCTCATCATTGGTGAACTCTTCAGCTGGACGGGAGAGGACATCCTGATGACAAATAAAAAGTATTATAAATAGAGTTGGCATTTACTAACCAAAATTCCTGTTCGTTTAAATGATCTGTATTGTATACTATTTGTAATTAAGCCTATATAAGTATTTATTTATTTATTCATCCTTTGCATTTATACTGATGGTAAAGTTAATGTTGGTTTTGTTTATTGTTATTTCACTTCCTAAGTTCGCCAGTTTATCCTAAGACATAGGCCTCATCTAATAGACTCCATGTTTCCTATATGTGTATACTAAGATACAAACAATAATTCTATAATCTATCATAAAGTTTGACTTTATGATTTTTTTGCAGTAGTCTAGTGGTTTGGTAAACTGTCTTACTTCTAATGGTTGCAGCTTTGATTCTTTGCACTATGGAAACATTTGTATCTATGAATATGATTGTTTGTATTGGTCTGGGTGTTTTATGAAGTATATGTAGTTAGGTATTTCGGTGTGTTAATTACCCATAACACAAGCTTAAATTGAAACTAGAGGTATGTGAATCATCCTGGGTTAGTACCATACCTACATACTGTACTAATAATATAGTGATACTAGGGATAAGGGGATTGTTAGTAATGTGGACTAATGATTCCATTGCTAGCAATGTACCATGTCAGGTTCCCCTGGAAACCATCATGATAAATTCGGTGAATTTGTCACATTGGGCTAACTGATCTGACTACATGTTCATCCTATCATCCTCCACTAGTGCCCCATCAGCGTAAACCGTCAGTGCAGACGGGTGCTCCATTCCATTATCATCCTCTAAAAAAAAATATAGTGATACTAATTTATTCAATTTATTTATAATATTTTATCATTTTATTAATATTCAAATGGATCTCACTAAATTGGAATTACTTTATTCTAGATTATGCCATGAACTTCCTTTGTGGTCAATGACAAATTTACAGTATGAAGATCCCTATAGAGATTATCTATAGAGACATGGCAGTGAAACTACAGAGTCATCTGGAATGGGGTACTATATGTGTCTTGTGTATGATGATCTTGTCATCTATATATATATGTTCATGAGTGTGTTGTTCGAATCACATATAAAATAGATTTCTTTTTATTAATACAATACTTGTGTTATGTTAATGTTACTGGTAAATACATTTATAGGTGTAAGTATACACACATACAAGTAATGTAAAATTGATTGAATAAAAAGTTTTTTTGTTACATACAACATCACATAAGTTATGTAAAAATGGCTAGACTGATTATGATGAAAATATCATTATACATTAATTAATATGAAGATGGCTGATCTTCATATTAATTAATGTATAATGATATTTTTATTCGAATTAAATTTTTATGAATGATAATGGAATATGCACTTGCCTACGCTAAATATTTACATTGGCAGAAACCAGTGGAGGATGATAAGAGCTATATTATGAACGTGAGGTCAGGTCTGTTAGCACATCACGACAAATTCACCAGGAATTTATCATGATGGCTTCCAGGCGAACCGCATGAAGCACAACCTAACATTGCTAATAATAGGGTTATTAGTCCACAATAGTAACAAACCACTTCTGTCTCAGCTGCACTTATGTGAAATACAACACCTGGAGTAATCAAAGGTTAAACAGAATATTGATTATTTGAGAATAGATGGCATGGCACAGCGGACAATCGATGTGCTGTATTTCCCGCAGTAAAAGATTCATTAAGTATTTATTAGAAGCAATTGAATGCAATCGGAAGTAAATTTTAAGTGTGTACACGCTAAATTGCACGCACAACCAGTTGAAATAAGGTTGGTTTTTCTTTACGAATACCCTACCTACTTTTGCCGGTGTGACTATTTTGCAACAAAAGCAAAATGTATATGAAACTGTTCGCATTTAAAGCAAGCTGACATACAACTGACCCTGGAATGTTAACTATACTATATTTCAATCGACGACAGGTATAACTTCATGTTTTTACGTATATAGTATAATAAAACATAACTAACCATTATAACAAAGTATATACGCTATTTTATATACCAACTGAAATCACAATTCACATATACAGTTAAAATAATACAACACGTGAACACATGAGAATCAAGTTGATCACAAAATGCAAACAAGAGAAAAATTATTAGAAAATTTTACGAAATTGACAACTATTCAGATTTTGTGACACACAAAAATGACACTGACTGATATTTCCGATTTGTCAAAAACGTTACCGTTCAGAAACTAAACCGACGACATCACCAAACCATCTTAAATCACACGACCGTTGTGTGACTCAAAGTATTAAGAAAAAATAAAAAAAGGCTTGTTTGACCTGAAATGAACAAAAGTTAAACGGAGATCAAAACCAACAAACAAATAAATTAAATAAATCATTAATTATTCTTTAAATATATCAATATAAAATACGCAATGTATTGTTTTTTCTTTAACAATTAAATTTAATATGATACCAAGATCAATTGAGATAACCACAATTTTAACTTAGAAAAAATAAACATAACCACAAAACAATAAAATCAACTCTATTCGTAAAAGAATATTTTAAACTGATATAAGTGTTAGTTTTTATCTTATTAAGTATAAAATTCTATTTTTTTTTGTTTCCTTAGCGTTTCTATATATTTTTTTCTGTTTAACACTTCGACTATACGTACTTTTTTCCAAATATAACAATGTGTATTACCGAAATCTTTCTTTAACAGTATTATAAATTATTTACTTTACAAATAACAAAACAATTAAACAATATTTGATAATTATAAATATTATAGTTGGTTGAGTAGATAAGTAAGAAAGTAAGGGAAGAATGATTTTTAGTAATGGAGAATAGGGCCACTATTGCTAGCAATATACATATTTAATATTTTTTTTTTTTTATCGATTGACCTCCATGCGATCCCCTTAAAAACCTACTACGCTACCAAGCCTGTTTTTATTCTCATTCCAACATCTTTCACTGATGTTCCTCTACCATATTTAGTTAACGTAATCGGTAACAAATCAAATATTCTCAAACAGACTTGTAATATAGTTACTAATCACTGTTTTGAATATTGTGTGCACTTTATACAAAAAAATTTTCAACGGTCAATAAATCTGATAAATCTGTTTATAGTCTGGAAGATAATATATATAATTGCATGAAAAAAATAAAAATAAAATAAATAATCCAGTATTTTTAATGATCTTGATGAATTTAAATTTGTAACTGGTACATAGGCAACAAACAATAACCATGTTAGATTAAATTTATTTTTTCAATGTTTTCTAACTTTAGTTTCTGAACGTTCCAAACCATCGTCTACGAAATAGATATATATAAATATTACAGTATAGAAAGAGATGACGCATTCGGAAAAATTCGCTAGGCCTTCGTTTCGTCACTGACTTTTGATTGGAGGATAGGAAGAGAGGGTGGCGCATGCGCGTTCTGCCGACGCCATCTCTGAAACTACTGTACCTGTTATGTACTTGTCTCAGAGTTAAATAAATGCTAATTTGTGGTAAAAACTTTAGTTAAACGATGGAATTATTGTGTCGCGAGTGAGATTAAGTGTTTGTTCACAGTTGTATACTGGTGTGGTGTTATTTTATGTACTAGAACAGCGGTGGGTCATATCTTGCGGAACTTTCTTGGCCCATAGCATCGCATATTTTTTGCGGCTATCTGTGCCGCAGTCATCACACTGGGATATTTCATGGGCGTTTATCGTCGAAACAGCTAGTGGTAACTTTCTTTAGCATTATATTTCTTTATAACGTAGTCGAGAGTAGAAAGTCCGCTGTAAGGCGGGCAGTGCTATCCCCGCGTTCTTACGCGCGTACTGCCTATACAATATACATTCATTATGTTTGAATTATTGTTATGGGTCAAAGACATTTCGGTGTATTGAGTAGTGACAACAACGGCAGTAAACGAGCTTACTTTGTGTTTCAGCTTGTGTATCTTCAATTGGGCGGCATAGAGACGCGTTTGATATGAATTCTGCTTTAAAGCCGGTGCTGCCCCAGCCGGGGGTGCCGCAGCCGGGAGGTCAAGCGAGTCCGGCAAAGGGCAACGTGGCGACAGTGAACCACGCAGTGGGACACCCGCAGGGCGCGCAGAACTCCCTGCATCACGGCACCAACAACCTGGTCGGGCAGAACTTGACGCATCACGCGCCGCCGCCGCAGTTGCTACCGCACGCCGCGCCCTCCATGGCGCCGGTCTCTGCCAACATGGCGCAGATGGCACAAAATATGAGTCACCACGGCAACCTCTCTCATGTCACTCAGAACTCTGTTCCTCCCACAAACTTGGTCGCCAGTCCCAATAAAACTGCAAGCACCAGTGCACCACTCAGCTTGGTCCAGGATAAAGTTAACACATCACAACCTCTTGCTTTAACCCGAACTCCCGAGAAGAAAGAACCTGACTCCACAGGTCATTCAAATGGTACTATTGATTCTCCAAAACCTGCTTCAAATGCTACCACTGGTCTTAAACCACAAAATCCTGAACCCAACAAAGAGAAGCAGGACATTGCTAAGACATCTCCTAGTACACCAAAACCTCCTGAAAAACCAAACAGTGCTCCAAGTACACCACAAAAAACGGAAACTGCTAATCCTGTAGGACAAACAGATGGTCCTGCTCAACCTAAAGTGGCCACAGCCAATGAACCAGCAGAAAAAACACCCAAGCCAACTGAGCTGAAACCGGCACCAACAGCTGACATTGCTCCCACACAAAGTGACAACAAGCCTGTGCCAGAATCTGCAAATGACAGTCAGTTACAAGAGAAAACAGCCATACCTCCCAAACAAGATGATGAACAAAAGGTAGCTGTTGCTGAAAGTGCTAAAATTGAAAGCCCTGCTAAGCCAGAAGAAAAGAAAGAAGAACCTAAAGTTGAGAAACCACAGACTACTGCAGAAGATAAAAAAGAAGATGTCAAGGTTGATAAACCAGAACCTACAAAGAAAGAGGAAGTTGAACCACAGAAGACAGAAGAAAAGCCAGAGGAAAAGAAACCTGAGGTTAAGGTTCCCGCCAAAACTGAAGTGAAAGTTACTCCAAAGTCCACATTGAAGTTAGCAACAGTGACTCCTCCAATGAGAAAAAGACGACAACCATCACCAAGCAGCAAGCCTTCTGACGGCCCAAGTTCTGCTAAAAAACCTGCTGAAGGGGATACCACACCTGATGCCAGATCAAAGAGAAATAGAACACAGGTTAGTTATTGCAATCAACAATTATTTGTTAAGAGTAAACTAAATTAGTTATCTAAAGATGAGAAGAAATAAAGGCAGGAAATAAACAAATTGAAATTCATTACATGTTGCTATTATAGGGTACCAGCTTATACTAGTTAAAAAAATCTAAACTTTATTAGAAAGAACCTAGATTTTGCCAATGATAAGTTTGTTTAAACTTATTCTACACACAAAACTTAGTTTGCTTTCTGTACCTATCTCAGATCTGACATTATTATTATTAAAATACAGTAATATATGTAATAAATTAACCTCTATCAAACTGTTAGGGACTATTTCAAACTATTTGTATGTCATGGCATTGTAGATAGCTTCCATCAATGGTATTTCTAAAAAAATAAGAGATTTTCCTTCTTAAAAGGCTGTCAATGCACTTGCAATTCCCATAGTATTGCAGGTGCTTATGGGCAGTGGTAATTCCTTACCATCAGGTTTAGTTTCTAGTTTATTTTTTGAAGTTTTAATCTCATATGATCTTTTGTGTGGCACATTTCATTCAATGGTTCAGTGTGAAATAGTAACAAAAATTCTTCCATCCTCGCAAACTTTAGTATCTGTTATATTAATAGGATTAGCAATTTAATTAAATTCCACCAAACATTCTTTTGAATATAAGTTTAAATATAAAATATCTTAAATTATGCATCTTTATCTTTTAAATTACGCAACAGATTTTGATGCAGTTTTTAACACTAGTTAGTGTGATTCAAGAGGAAGGTTTATATGTATAATACATGCATATTATAGTATAGAATATGCAGAGAAATTAAAAGATTTGTAATGCATTAATGCAAAGCCGGGACAAGTGGTTGTTTAAAATATACCAAACTGTATTGTAGATAAAAGTTTAGACAATGTAAATGCTAATGTACTTAATTATTTGGTTATAACACTCTAATTTGTGGAAACAAGACCTGCAAAGAGTGACTTAATTGACAAGTTTAGATCACCTTACACAAGTGTGCAAACATAGTGTTAGCAGTTTTATATTTGGCATCTTGTAAATGTAAACAAAGCATCACACATTATTTTTAGGTTTTAATAATTTTTTGTAAACACAACCTCAACATCTCAACTTTTTACATAACACTGTTTATTAGGAATATGCTGGAATTTGTGACAAAAAAAAAATCAAGTAGTAATGTTTCTTGTTACATTTTATAGTTATACCATTATTTTCTCCAACGGCCTTGGTGGTCTAGCGGTTTAGCACACCGGCTTTACTTGCGATGGTCGCGGGTTCGATCCTCGCACGGCACAAACATCATTCATGAGTATGATTTTTTGTGCTCATGCCTATAAATTGGTTGCCAATAATATCATTACTTGGATATATTACTATGATCTAACTGTAACTAACTACTAAAAATTTATTTTATTTGTATCGGTCTGGTTGTTTTATATGTATATGATGTATGTATTAAAAATACATTTTTAAATCAGTTGTCAAGTTCACACTGGCAGGCATCAGTGAAGGATAAGATCAACAACAGGACAGTTAGCCCATCGTGACAAATTCACCAAGAATTTATTACGATGGTTTCCAGTTCAACCTGACATGATACATTGGGGTCACCAGACCAATCAATACTAACAATCCGGGGGAAAGGGGAATGTTAGTAATGAACTGTGGATTATATTGCTAGCAATGTACCATGCCAGATTGACCTCCACGCGGTTCCCTTTAGAATAGAATAGAATAGAAAATCATTTATTCAAATAAACTTAATTTAAGCACTTTTGAAACTTGTGTGTTGCTCTTTTAAATAATCCTTGTAAGTTTACATTTACAAGTCGAAACGTGTGAATACAAACTACCAACAAGCACTAAGTCAAATATAATCATCTTAAATCTCGTAGTGATAAGAGCAGACCAGTCCCTACAAGCAGCCCTCGTTCACGAGTATGACGGATAAATCATATTTTAGAGCCCATTGACCCGGCCCACCACGCCGCCACACGTCTGGACATTTTAGTCCATGACTACTCATCACGTTACAAAAAACTATATTAGTTACAATCGCACTTTACATAAGGATGCATGCGGCAATCAATACAAAAGCCGCTACGCTATCATATATCAAGAAAGCAGTATGAAAATTAAAATTATAACGTTGTCCGCAAATAAACTTATTCTTGCTATATATTGCTATCATCTATAAATTCATCTATCTTATAATAGGCTTTTTTGCATAACATTTGTTTAATATAAGATTTGAATTGCCTCTCTTGATTTAGTGTGTGTAAAATCTTACGCATTACCATAAAATGAATTACTAACTTTCGTTTTTTAAAAACCATCATGATAAATTGTTTCAAAAGAGCAACACACAAGTTTCTTGTACCCCAATCTTGTTCTTAATAAATGAATGAGTTGATGGTGTGTGACAACGATCCTTTCCGACACACAAGTTTCTTGCTCGTTCTTCTTGTGATGAGACAGCTTTCCGAATGAGCGGTAGATTAAAAGAATGATAACTATGTCTATTCAAAAGTGTTTATATAAAGTTTATTTGAATAAATGTTTTTCTATTCTAAATCGTGATAATATATATTGATATTTACAGGTGCAGCTGTACCAATCTCCAACTCCTGAGCTCGCCATGGCGACCAAGCTCTCGGCGTCGGCCGGCCGTTCAACACCCACCAAGCCTAATGATGACAAACTCATTGTCTTTTATAAGTGAGTAATTTTAAATTATAAGTACACTAGACAAAAACGGAATACAAAAATAATCTGTCTGTCTGTCTGTTAATTATATATTAACTACACTTATTAACTGATTAATTTCATTTCTCTTCGACGGCCTCACTGGTTTAGCTAGGTTACTACACCGTTTTACTTCCGACGGTCGCGGGTTTGATTCCTTGCACGGTACAGACTTTTGTATTCATGAGTACGATGGTTTGTATCGATCTGGGTGTTTTCTATGTATATTATGTATGCATTTAAAAAAAACCTAATTTATATCAGTTGTCTAGTACCCATAACATAAGCTCTACTTAGCTTGGGACTAGATGGCGCTATCACGGCAATGTATGTTAATTGTCCCGAATTATTTATTCATTTATTCTAATGCTAAATGCATTACTTAATTGCATGAATTACATTAGTATATATTTGAATAAAAATAATCTTATTTCTAATCGCGGTTGATAGTTAATAATTGAAATTTCATTAAAAGGAATGAATATCTGGCCGTCCGCAACGCTGAAGGCGGCTTCTACGTGTGCCAAACGATGCAGAATGTGTACCGCACCACACGCAAGATCAAGATCCGCTGGCTCTCCCAGGATAAGGCTGCGGACCCTTCAGGGGATACCTACAAGCCAGACTTCTATGACGTCACTGGTATTTATATAGTATTCATATTTTTTAAGAATATATATTTAAGCTTGTGAGGACTGGTCTGTTCTGGTTACGAACACAGATTTGACTATTTTCTGTTGCATATGCTGGTGGTCACTCTATTCAGTTCAATCTCCCATCTCTACACGGACTATTGATTATCTAAGTGGATCACTAAATATGACAATTCTTCCTTCACCCATATTTTAACATGGTGCCTGCAGACATGGAGTGCGTGCTGACGACGTTGTCGCTGACACGTGCCGGCAGCGGAGGCGCCCAGCTGCTGAAGGCCGGCGAGCGAGCCCGAGCTTCCTCCATCTTGGAGCGCGCGCTGCGAGCTGAGGTGACTCCGCGAGACCAGCTGCAGCTGACTGAAGAGCACCCTGATGGCTGTAAGTTTACTTCCATTACATCGGGATGGGTTATTCTTAATGGATGATGATGGAATGCTTCACCTGCTTGCGTTAGAGGTTTACGCTGCAGGGCATCAGTGAGAGTGCTAAGATTCAGGTCAGTTAGGCCATCATGACGTATTCAGCAGGAATTAATCATGATGTTTTGTAGGGGGAAACATGTGGAGTTAAACAAGGTGATTAGTTGTGTTTACTTATGACGGTCTCTGCACTGAATATAGCTCGCAAGTACTAGACTATGTTTTACCTATTAGTTTACTATCTATAAATAGATACAAGTAAATATACACAATGCATAAAACAGCAACTTTACCAGAATCTAGATGTTTAATACATATTCACAACTATACATATAAATAAAATTGCAGTGTCTGTTTGTAATATTGAAATACCCATCTTTTACTACATGCATATGAATGTAAATATGGTACATACACAAAAATAACATTTCCTACAATTTTTGTCTGTCTGGCTGTCTGTTCCGGTTAATCTCTGAAATGGCTGAACCGATTCTGAGAGGGGCGTTTTTTGGCAGGTAGCTGATGTAATAAGAAGTAACTTAGGCTACTCTTATCTTAGAAAAATAAAGTTAAATTCCACGCGGACTTAGTCGCGGGAACCAGCTAGTTATTAATATAGTCAAACGGGTTTTAACACGAATAATTTTATGCCTGACTTAATTGTTGAAGCCTTGTTGAAACGTCGGTGAGACGTAAAATTCTTTTATCCTAAATATATATAACTCAAAACTGACTGACATAGTGATCTATCAACGCACAGACCAAACCACTGGACGGATCGGGCTGAAATTTGGCATGCAGGTAGATGTTAAGACGTACGCATCCGCTAAGAAAGGATTTTGGTTAATTCTACCCCCAATGGGATAAAATAGGGGATGAAAGTTTGTATGAAATTTTGTTAATTTTAAACCGATCGGGCTGAGACTCTGCATGCATAAAGCTACTATGACGTAGGCATCCCCTAAGAAAGAATTTTGATAAAATCCACCCCTAAGGGAATAAATTAACGCGAGCGAAGCCGTGGGCAAAAGCTAGTTTGCCATAAAATTATTTATACTAAAACCAGTTTAACTCTATAATGTGTCGTATACTCGAAAGTTTAAAAAGAAGTAATATATATTAAGGCAATGACTGTTTCATTAAACAATTTATATTTTACAGTGGATCTGTCTCTGTACACGGATGAGTCCCAATTGGAGAAGAAGTCGCGCAAACGCACCAGTTCGAAATCGTCGCCTCGCGGCAATCAGGACGACGCTAATGAGACTGCCGTGAGTTACATTTTCGATCAGTATTGGTATTCTGTAAGCGTTTCAACTCATTTCACCCACGGCACTCATATCCATTTGTAAATATAAACTTGCCTATATTTCTAAAAAATGACTAGTGCCTGTTTCACCTCCGTCCCGCTCTCGAGCGCGTGGCGCTGCAGTCGCTATCGAGTTTTACAGAAAACCAATGTAGCATCTCACTGCGGATTCCGTTTTCGAATTCGTAAGTGATGCTCAAAGAATAGCTGTACAGGTTTAGATGAGATATCCTGTCAACTGAATAATACTATCAGTACCGCAATACATAAGGCGTCTGAGCGTAACCGATGGTGACAGCTGGTCGACAAGATAGCGTAGAGTCGCGATCCTCAGCAGTGAGGGAATGATTAAGAAGAGAGACAATTTAAATTAGCTTTACAACAATATTAATCATTTCCAATTATAGGAATGAAGGCTACATATCAAATCAAATCAAAAATAATTTATTCATGTAGGACATTTTAGCCGCTTATGAACTTCAAGTTTTTTTGTATTAAATGTTTTTGTCTACCGTCCAGTTCAATATACAGATTCAATTAAAAAGAACTGGCATGGAACTCAAGTTTCTTTTCAACAAATTAAATAAGATTGTATATATATAACATTATACATATAACAATTAAAATTACGTTACAATATTTTTATTCTGTTTCGCAATATGGCCGACACTCAGCTTATGCCGTAACAGCTAACTGTCGCAGGGATGTATGTTTAGAAATAGAATTAACCTTTATTCAAATAAACTTAATACAAGCACTTTTGAATAGTCATTTTTCTACCACTCATTTCGAACGCATACGCCACAAGAAGAATGAGCAAGAAACTTGCATGTTGCTTTTTTTTTAATAAATGTTCTAAAATACACACATTTTTTAATATGGATAAAATACTTATATACTTAATAATTTCTGTACAAAGTATAGTTTTTAGACGCTCATCTCATTTTTATTAGTCTATATTATCTGTTGTTGGCAGTTTGCATCATTCTTTTTACCAATACTTTTTAATTCTATTCTGATAATTTTTATGTTATTTTTTAACGATACAAATACATTTCTATTCAAATGAAATCAAAAGCCATCATGTAGTACATTTAGCCGCTTATGAACATCAAGTTTTTTGTAGTAATATTTTTTCGCTACCGTCAATATTATTTGTTGGTTTTTATTAAATAGTAAATGCATAGGAATGTCGCTCCACTCATATCATTATACATTCTTTCATATCAATTTGTAAAAACAATAATAATCAAATTCATGTAGATAACAATCTTTACACTTATAGGTGTCTATGCCTTCTATATTGTTAAAAGAAATATTAATATTATAACTGTAATATATATAATTTTTTCTCTCCATCGACAATTATTTGTTGGTTCTTACTATAGTTGTATAGGATTCTCGCTCCAGTTATAATTAGCAATATTGATTGTTTGTTTTCCATAGAGTATTGAGAAAACGATAACAAACAAATCAAAAACCATACGACTCTCTAGCCGCTTATGAACGTGAAGTTTTTCTAGTAATATTTTTCCCTAGCGTCTATAGTTACTTGTTGGTTTTTATTAAATAATAATTGCCTTGATCCAGTTATAATATAATTTATTGTTTCTTTTATTGGGATAAGGAAAGACTATTTTATTCGCAGTCGTCGTGGCATATAAACCAAAGCAGTTTTATATCAAACGTCTTTTGCATCGAGTAGAGAAAAAAAAATAACAACCACCAAATATTTCCAGAAGGTCGCGACAACGCCCGCCAAAAAGGCGCGAATGACGCCAAAACGCAGTCCGAAAAGCGCGCGCAAAACAAAAACACCGCCAACAAAACAGAAAACAAATAAAAGAAAATCGGCAGGTAGTACGCCCTCTGTGGCGAACACAAGCAAGGTAGGCATAGTACAACGGATATATAGAAATGTACGTATCCTCCGCAATCACCGCCATACATTCATGTCCCAGAGTGAGTAAGGTGTGCGTTTGTCTGTGCCGTCCCTGTCCCGCCCGCGCGGAGTGTGGTACGCGCGAGCGGGACAGCGATACGTCTGCTTAATTTTAAGTTATTACAGTGTGAGGAGTCGTTGCGTATTTTTCAGTATATTTTTACAATGTGTGATTTTGTATTTAGAAATGTATCTAAACAAGTCTATTTGAAATATAAATATGATTTTTTTAAAGTATTACAATTATTACATGACTACAGATAATGCAAAACGTACAGTATATATATGGAAATAGTAAATAAGAGAACATCTAAGTGTTAAAAATTACATTTTTATGAAAAAGATACATTATGCACACATTATCTGTAGATATCGTACCATAGACTTGTTTATATTTTTTATTATGGCTTAATGGCAGTACATTAATTTCAACTAAACAAGATAGAACAAAATTCATATACATGGAAAATACGTACGAATCCTGAGCAGTAATATTTTATTTATTACAACAGACAAGCTCAGATTGTGTTTGTTCATAATGTTGATAATTGTTTAGTTAGACGAAGAGAGTGTATTATGATTATGAGTAAATATATAGATATATATATATATATAGTAATTTTGAGCAAAATTTATTGGATATAATGTTATAATGTGGTTATATCGATGTGCATGCTAAAAGTATGTTATGTACATTGATTATGCAGTATTGGAAGGTTCCAGTATCAGGCCTCCGCATTATTTTGATTGGGTCAAGGTATATTTTTTTTTATTACTCACGGCCATACCACGCATTGGAAACCATTATAATTACTTACTCTACGGTATAGGGTATAGAGGATGCATGATGCATGTTATATTAAAAAAAAAAGAATATAGATACAAAAATGTTTTTCCCGCGCTAACTTCTCAATGTCAAATATCAAAAATTTTATCTAAAATGTTTATATATATTAAAAAAATATATTTGAATATACATTTATAAAAATAATGTTATATTAGTTATGGTAATTACAAGTATTTAATGCTTTTTTTATTTTAGTTAAAAGACAAAAATCATACAGCCATTCAATAGCATTTACAATTATAGTCTATCGTTAGTCTATAATATTATTGCGTAGTTCGGTCCGCCGAATATCGAACATACTAGAATTTTTCCTGTTAAAAGAATATGTTAATTGGTTCGAAATATTTTTCCTTTTTTTTTTTGACATTTCTGAAAGCAGTCATAGCCAGCCCTGTTTTTACATGAGTGTAATTATCCTACATGACTTTATTTTTTTATAAGTAAAAAACATGCCATGTTAGTCTCCAATGAAACTTTTTATAGTTGAAATAATTAAAAAAATATATATTTTATGTACAACGGTTGATCCAGTAAGTTCAAGTAAAAAAAGAATATTTTTTTAATATTTTATACTGTTAGGGTTTTGTATAATAGGTTATAGACATTATAAAAAACGAAATTTTTACTCTTTATATCAATTTAGACACAAAAAAAAAAACTTTTTTAAATATATCCAGAATGTTAGGGTTTATCTAATAGTTATAGAAATTATATAAAATAAAACTTATCGTCTATACATCACTTTAAACAAATTAAAAAAGGTAATTGACATAAATAATGCGCATGTCTAATGAAAAATCTCAAACGTAAGGATAGATCTAACAAAATCTATATCACCTTCATTCATGACTCATAATCATTGCTTGCTTTTTGTGTTTCTTTAGTTTTACTACTTTTATTGGCCTCTTCTTCAATTGTTTGCATTTCTCGACGAATTACGTTCAGTATTGGCATGAATTGCATGCAATTACTTTACTGCATCTATATTAAAACTGTCTATTATGTTCCAATAAAATTTTCAATGGATATCATACTTATATTATATTTGCAAAAGTTTGTAAATATGGGTGAATGTTTGGTACTTTTTTACGTAAAAACTACTGAACTGTTTTTGATGAATACTGTAACATAGCTTATACCACAGAATAACATATAGGCTATAATTTACGAAGATATTATGTAAATGGTGCGATATAAAATGATAAGTGTAATGCAGACAAAGTCGCGGGTCAGCTAGTTATTGTATAAATATGTAATTTGTGACCAAACTTTAACGTATTATCATATAATTTTATATTTAGATTTAGTTATCATTCATAGGTATAACATATTTATAAACTTAGATAGTTTAAAATCAAAATATCTTTATTTATATTGGTCTATTACAGACTGACAGTACAGAAGAAATGTCAAGAAACTCAGCTCTTATTCTTTTCAAATTAGCTTAGTTTGTAACTGTTTAAAAATATGTAGATTTATTTTTAAATACAATTAGGGAGAATTCTCAGTAGAATTCTATATTACAGTTAGTATAGTGCTTATACTTTCCAATAAGACTGGCAACACATTCCCTGGAGTTGCATGTGCTCAAGGGAGGCGGTTATCACTTACTATCAGCTTGAAGCTCGTTTATTTGGTATTTATTTAATACATACAGTGAATATATTAGAATAGTGTGTAAGAGAATATCTATGAGTTAAAAATCTACATTTTTATGAACGACTAGCTTTTACCGGCGGCTTCGCTCGCATTGAATCATCAGTGGCTGCTAGATAGCGCTGAAGTAGCAAAATGTTGATATATATTTTTTTTATTATTTTTTTTTAAGTGTCCTGTTTTCATCCTAATACTTCCAAGAACATGTGTACAAAACTTCATGATGATCGGTTCTGTAGTTTTTGCGTAAAAGCCTAACAAATATACCTACTTTCATTTTTATAATATTAGTAAGGATAGATACATTATGTATTATATCTGTAGTATATATTATCTGTAGATATTGTACCATATACGTGTTTTAAAGTATTACAATTATTAGCGTCACTTTAATAGGAAATATTTACATATTCAGTTGGTTTTATAATTAATAAAATCCATGATAATTTTATTGGAACAAACTATTGTAATGTGCAGTAAATATTAATCTACTGAATAATAAATTATTTATAATTAAATATTAATTAGGGTAAATAAATTATAACGATGTCAATTGTGATTGGTATCTGTTTTGTATAATTGCGTTTGTTATATTATTAAAAAGGTTATATATTTCGTCTTAGTGTTTTTAAAGGTACACCTTTTGATAATAATACTAAAGTTCATTTTGTGTTGTGATACTATTGCATTATTGTTGGAATTGTGTGTAAAATATTTAATGTCCTAATTTGTTAATTGCATTATTTCATTATCACATTTATTACAATGTACATTAAGTACAGATTTAGTTGTAAAGGGTATGTCATGTCGAAAGCCAGTGAAATCCTTTAAATTTGAAGAGGTTTTCCCGAAGAGGTAAAGGTGGATGTTTTAAAATCTACATAGAAACTCCACGGTCCTGTAATCAATTTTGTACAATTATGCTAGAGTTCTAAGCTAAGCAGAGCTTGTGCTATGGGTACTAAATAACTAAAAGATATACTTCATATTAAATTAACAGTTTTTCTGTATATACAAGTATTACATAATATACATAGAAAACACTCAGAGAGATATGAACAATCATAGTTACGAATAAGCAACCATCGGAAGTAAGGCGGTGTGCTATAGTCGGACCATTGAGTTTGATATTTGAGCGGAGCGATCTTAGAGATTAGATTTTCACTCTTTGTAACGATGCTCCTCCGAAACGACTTGACTGATCGAGATCAAATTTTCATCGAAGGTCTTCAGGCTTCTATCGTTTAACACTAAAAAAAAATTCCGATAGGTTAAGATCATTTTTAAGTATAAACGCGCTCCGCTCAACATAAATCGTTAGACAACATAACTAGTTATTTTCAAATTTGTACTTTGTTTCTTTCGACTTGGTATACCCATTTATACTATAACTAAATTAATCTAACTTAAGTAAGGAATGTATGAAGTAATGCAATTATAAATTATATGTATACTTGTTGTTGAAAACATTGCAGCTGGTATTCGACATTGTAAAAATTGACTTTACAAATTAATTAAAATTATAATAATCAATCAATCAATCATATATAGCTTTATTCATGTAGGTCCATCACAGACACTTATGACAAGTCAAATTAATCTACAGTATGATACTTAGTGTAAGTTACACTACTTATTGGGTACTCTAACATGACACCTAATACATCCAGTAACAATTATTAAGACTACAGACTCTTACATGACAAGAAAAACATTATACAAAATAAATAAAATTGTTGCAGTATAAGAAATACCAGTTGCATTATAGCTATAATTTGTTGCTTCCATTTGTATTTATAAATCAATTTAATCATACATTTATCATCAGACTGCAACGGCGGTAACAGAGAAATCTAAAACTAAAAGTTCACCCGCCAAAAGAACTCCCGCCAAACAGGCAAAAGAACCAACGACCACGCCCACGCGCAAAGGAAGAAGGGCGGGTAAAGGTAATTTATAATTTTTTTATGGATGATAATGAAAGGGTGCACTCGCCTGCGCTAACGGTATAACGGCGGGGCAGTGGACGATGACAAGATGAGCATGACATCAGATTAGGTAGCCCATCGTGGTAAATTCACCATGATTTTATCACGACGGTTTTCATAGGAAACCATGTGGAGGTAAACCTGACATGGTACATTGCTCGGAATAGTGTTATTAGTCCATATAATAATCTTCCCCCCATAAAGTTTATATTATAATTCTATATATTGACGACCTCGGTGGTCTAGCGGTCAAGCACACCGCTTTACGACCGATGGTCGCGGGTTCGATTCCTCGCACGGCACAAACATTTGTATTCATGAGTATGATTGTTTGTATCGGTCTGGGTGTTTTCTATGTATAATATGTATGTATTTACAAAAAAAAAAAAATATCTATGTATATGTATCAGTTATCTAGTACCCATAACACAAGCTCTACCTAGCTTAACTTGGGTCTAGATGGCGCTGTGTGAATTGTCCTGAGATAATTATTATATATATTTAAATAAAAATTAGACCTAAAAGTTCGCCCGCCAAAATAACTCCCATTAAAAGAACAGGCCAAGATAATGTATATTATAACTATAGGTTACTAGGTGTACATGTATTATACATATAAACCTTCCCCTTGAATCACTCTATTGCTAAAAACTGCATTAAAATCCGTTACGTAGTTTAAAAGATCTAAGCGAACAGACAGCGGAAGCGAGGATATTTTATAGATAGATAGATAGATAGAATATACTTTATTTGCAACGTACAGTATGTAATACTATAATAATGTAATAATACTATGTAAACATAAACATGCTTTATAGATATAACATCTTACATAGTATAAAATAATAAATAAAGATCATCATGTGTTAATCGCCACAAAATTAAAGAACAGAAATTGTTATAACAGGTACCGACCTGTTATTTGATCACACGCTCGGAATTCGATCACCATTAGAGAAGGTTAGGACCTTCTCTAATGGTAATCGAATTCCGGTAGTCAAGTTTCCGCACTAAATATTAGTAATCTCACACAAGCTAATTGTAGCGGAGTTAAAAAGTCCATTAAGTAATGAAATGAATTACAACTAATTCTATAAATTCTTAAAGAGTTTGTGAGTATGGATGGATGTTACTCTTTCATGCAAATAACTTTCTCCTGTTCATGTCATTTTACCTATCTGTTCGATGTTTCAATCCGTTTCCCTAAGGTTGCCTTGAAAAGATTGCTTTTAGCAATAAGGCCGCCTTATTGTAACGATACATGTGTCCTTTGTTATATTGTTTGTGCTTCTTCTTTACTGTACGTTGCAAATAAAGTATCTATCTAAATGAATTGTGATGAAACTTACAGTAATATAGCTTATACATCAGAATAACACATAGGCTATAATATTAAAAGATATTATGTAAATTGGGCGAAATACAACGATGAATGTCACGTAAGTGTGATGCAGACGAAGTTGCGCGGATCAGCTAGTGTATATATACATTTTATTATTTACAGAGAGCAAAGCGTCTCCCATAGTGCCGACCCCTTCGACCTCAACAGGCAAGACCACACGCACGCCGAGGAAACCGCCCGCGAAAAAATAATACACGTTCTATACCCTCATCTCCTTACTGTTAGCCTCCAGTGAATGGACACTAAACACGTGCGCCGACATTGGGTTTGTACTTCATTCATTCACAACAATAATTTATTTGTAACAGTTACATTTTGGCATAATGAGACTTTGTCCTTAGCCTCTTATTTTTTTTCAGTACAATTTTGGCGGTTATATTCTTTTAAAAAGTACACTGTAGCTCTATTGTTGCACTTTATTGATTTGTCATGGAAAGTTTTGTATAAGTTTATATTATTTATAAGTGAACAGTCAAATTATGAACTACAGTATGGTGTGGGATCCATACTAATGTACTCAATTTGCGAGGTTTTTTCTTGTTTTTTTCTGTAATTATGAATTCTAAGATATATTAAAAATTAAATTTAAAAGAATAAAAGTAAATTTCCGCCTTTAAATCGCTATAGTTTAGTATCCAATATTGTATTACAACACAACATAACAGACTTACAGGTTGTTTGGAATAATTGGGTAATTTTTTCTCTTCAATAATGGCAACTTCACTCCATATTCAATGGATATGTTGCTCGCAAAACAGAATACGGTGTTGCCAGCATTTCCCCATTCTGTTCAGTTTTAAATACTATCAAATGTGGGTAATTTTAGACATGGACCTACCAATGGTTCTAACAATCATATGCTTATCACAATAGGACGGGGCGATTGAGATTACAAGAAACATATTAGGTATATAGTTCTACAGTTTATTTATCTCGGTTTAATCGCGAGCGACGAACTGTCATTGAATTCACTACACTTTTGAGATAATGATGTGACCAGTTAAAAAAAAACAATTTGTTGAAACGTACGCAATACTATGACCATGAAATTAATATGACAAGAAAGCTATAAGAAAGAAAAATATAATAACAAGTTAAAAATATGCACTTATATGTTAGGCGGTACTAACTAATGTGTATTTAGAAGTTGACTGAAGAAATCCGAAATGTAAAGTCTATTAAGCAACCATAGTATTTACCTATATATTTATATATATATTTACCATAAAACATTCTGTTTTATCCAATTCATTGTTATACAATATTTCTTTTAAATAGACGTCAAATATATAGATATAGATATAGAGTAATAATAAAAATAAATATTTTTAGATGTTAAGTCATAATAAATAATTAATAAAGAAAAATGAGAGAACTATAATATTCGAAGTTCAAAAAAAAGATTTAATTAATTAAAGGTTGTCTACGAAGATATATAGAATATCACAGTAATATCTGTAATATATTACAACAATTATCCTGATATCGAGCTATTATGTTGTGTTGGGTTATGACGAAATTAGATGTGTTGCCATGTATAATTTTTGATGACACCGATCATCATAAGATTAAAATAATATTATATAAAAACTATAAAGCAATAAATGACTGAGGATATATATACTGCGTGTTAAGTGGACTAAACATTATTTTTTATTACTTTTCATGGAATATAGACGTTATTTGGTAGTAGAAAATTTACTATTGTGCGACTGTATATGTCAGACAGATTTATTTTTTTACGTCATTATTATTACGTAAATAAATATAAAAAAAAATGGGAAGTATAATCTTTTGACCTTCGCCTGTTTCATAAGAGAATGCGAACAAAATAATATATTGAATAATGTATTTGTTTCTATTAAATATATTTTATAATTAATATTTTGACTCGTTGCTATGAATTGGTGTATACTTAATGTTATAAATAATTAAATATACCATTTGTAGTGAACAAACTAAGAATAATGCATGCAGTATATTATTCTCTATGGATTAGCTATTTTCAATAAAAAAAGAACATACGTCTGTGTTACTTAACTATAGTAAATTGCAGAAACAGTGCCCTGTTCCGTGTACTTACAACTTTAAAATACACACTTTATAAATTAATATGATTTAGGTTAAGCGTTCAAAGTCACTTAACTTTGTAATATTGATAAATTTAACTTCTATTTGAAATGAAAGTGAATTGAATAAGGTAACAGAATAATTTGACTAACGTAACTAACTAGTAAATGTAAGAATTCTAGGGGTTCACTGTAAATATTACAATTTATTAACAAAACAAAAAAATTGTTAACAAATTTATTATTATCAGGTGTATGGAGTAAGTTCATTAGTATATATAAGAAATTAAAATCAATATGAACAAAAACAGTTTTTTTTTATGAATTCTACATATATTTATACTAAAATCTAAAATGATCTAGAACAATCGATAGAACATTATTTGTTTAAAGAATAAATATGCAGTTTCATTGAATAGAGTGAATGTAATTACTCCATATACCATGCGATTTGGTCAGCTATTTTACGTTGGCATATATTTTGTGCGTTGGCGAGGTATATTTGCCTCTGTTAACATTAGGCAATAGTTTTAGATGTTTTAATTTGTAAGTTTAGGCTAAAAATTCTAAATAAAGCGAGAGTATTCGATTAGGTAATGCGATGGAATCATGGAATATCAGTACAAAGAATTTAAATATTATCAAAGTGACATTTTTATCATTGGACAATTTGGATTTATGTAAGAGTATATTTTGATATGATCGGTGTTTGTTTGTCTGTCAACGATTGTGGAGTAGTACTGTCCGGTTTACACTGCGTTTCCACCGTAGTATTATATATATGTATTAAAAATATGTCTAAATAATACATGTGTACGGTCATTTCATTCAAATGAAGGTATACAAAAACATGTATTTATAAAGTATGTTTGCAATATGTTTTCATGCTTGGATGTGTTAAAAGTCTGCAAACATACAACGAATGAAATAAGGAATCCATAGATATATAATGAATGTATTACATTATCATATGTGGGATAAAACCTAGAATATTTAAATACCATTATAAAATTATACAAAAACCTGTGTATCTTATGAGTAATGTAGTCAGGTCAGTTTTAAACTGTAACCTGTATTTATTCAAAATCTAGAAATAATGCAGTTTATGTGATAATGTGATACAAACAAGTTTCAAGTGCAAGTTGCATAAGGGTGGAAACGCGTGGATAAGATTGCAATACATTCAGAGGCGTAGCTAAATACCTAAAGCCCTGGTACGAAGCTGGACCTGACTATGGTAAACTGTAGGTTTTATCAAGGCTAAATATAAAACAAGTTGGCGACAGTAGACTAATAATCTTTTTTTTTAAGATATTTTACTGCTCTGGAAGGTAGTTCTTATGAACAGTTTAAATTATCGTTTCAGCGATACTAGACTAATAATGACAACTTTTTTAAGACATTTTTCTGCTCTGGAAGGTAGTTCTTATGAGCCCAGAATAGTTTAAATGGTCGAGCGCATAGTAGCTTATTTTATTTACATACATTGAGTGTTTGAGAATTTTTTAACACTTCAATTTTTTGATGGTCTTTCTTTGAGGGTCTTGGGATGATTAGGGGTGTAATGTAAGGCTGTGTCTAGCCCTCCGGTAGCTACGCCACTGAATTAATTATATAAAATATATAGAAGTCGCTAGGAATGATTGTTACCTGCCTGTCTGGACCAAAATTGCATTGTAAATTATATAATTTTCAATTATCAGTGTACATACCAAATGTAAAATGATCACTGCCTATTGTAAAAATAAATCTGGAGACCTAGATAGATCGAATCTATATACCGCTATTAGTGAATTTCTCAGATTATTACTCAGTTTATTATTTACGGTTCCGTAGGTACATATTAATATTAATTCTAACTTTTTAAAACCAGTATTTGTATGAAAATTTATCGGTGTGTTTAATTTTCATATAGATAGAATGTATTTGCAGCTTTATAGTTTGCGCCTGTGAGTCTAATATTGCCTACGGATACCTTTCGATTTACTTTTGTATGTCTTTAACGATATATTTATCTCGATTATGTTACATCACTTGATTTGTTAGTTTAGTTGGTTATATTGTATAAACATAAGTTTGGAGACGTACATAGTGGCCCTTATTTTTGTTAATTTTTTTTATTCTGTCTGCGTTGTTTGTTGTCCGGTGAGCCAGCTCCGTGCGAGCGTGCGTGTGTGTGAAACTATAGAAAAATTAAGTACCTAAAGTTTAGGTGGTATTTTTAATATTAGGTTAATTTCTAAAAAGGAAAAAGCTTAGATTATAAATTATTGTGCGTGTATTTTCTGTTTATAATGTGTACCTATGTGGAGAGAATGTGAGACGCATGGCCCTCTGGTACAATAGTTGTAAAACATATTTTAGCGTTTTATACAAAAGATATCAAGTTCAAGAGTACTATTGTAACAGAAAGTCCACAAATTTATATGCAATTAAATATAATAATTTAAGAAGTGTAGCGTTTTTATTTATGATAATAACCCAAAATGATTCACACGACGTCATCCCAAGCTAAGCAATTTGTTTTATGAGTACTAGATAACTGATAGAAATACTCATATACATTCTTTTAAGTGCATACATAGAATAAATATAAGCCCAGACAAATATAAATAATCATATTCATAAACACCAATGTTTGTATCTTGCAAATAATCAAAACCGCGTATAATAATAACCTCAGGACAATTCACACAGCGCCATCTAGACCCAAGTTAAGCTAGCTATAGTTTGAGTTATGGGTACTAGATTACTGATACAAATACATAGATTTTTTTTGTAGATACATATTATACCTAGAAAACACCCAGGCCGATACAAACAATCATACTCATGAATACAAATGTTTGTGCCGTGCGAGGATTAGAACAACAACATCGACCATCGGTCGTATACATCATAACTTTTCTTAAAGTTAAATTAATTCGATGTAAGAATATTAACTAGTCTGCAATAAAAGTTACTTTGTTGAAAGGTAAAAGAGTTTACTTTTTAAAAAATGGCGTTTCCGACTAAAGTAGCTATATAGAATATCTTGTATTTTTGGAAACTATGTGCCACTACAGGATTTTTTAATATAATTAGGATGGCAAACAGGCTGAGGATCCACTTCATAATAAGACAGTATGAATATAGTAATGTCTTAATCGAACAGAGTTCATTCAGGCTTGCCATCTCATGGTTTTAGCAGAGCCACCTTATTGCATAATCATCCACATAAAACTTAATTTAACTTAGCATACAAATAAATAAAAATGAATCAATATTAAGTTATTTATTTATCAAAAACAAGAGGATTCTTAATCATCAACTGTTTCCAATGGATACTCTGACATAATCAGTCCCCTTGACCACAGAGCATCAGCTATCTGCAGCTTATCTGAATCATTTGGAACATCCAGACTTTCCACTGCAACATACTGTGGATATGAAAGTATCAATGTTTCTATTGCTGGTGCCAGTTCTTCCTCAATTTCAAGGTATGGCAGCTCACTTCCGTGATATTCCAATGAATTCTCAACATAATAATACAATCTTATACGATCTTCCGACACCATTCTCAGTATATTTTTTCGTAACAGTCTTATTTTGGTGTCAAGTCCAATTTCAACTCTATTTCTAACTTTACCATTTCTCATCACAACATCATTGTCACTGTATACAGTGACATTCTTTTCTAAGTCAGTTAGAACCGGTGGTAGTGCATCATGCTGATAATTTTTGTTCATTTGATCCACTGCTTCATCTATTGGTAAATGATCTTTAATTTTATCAAATAGTGTCCTAATGATAGTCTCTATTTCTTTTCTTCGTGGTGTATTTACATCTGAGTTGACTAGACCAAAATTGTCATAGATATCAAATGGCAAACCTTGCCTCAACTCAACATTTTCATTTATCGCCATCTGCAAAGCTGCAGGAACTAATTTCTCAAATAAGTCTGCCCATGAATGTTTCTGATACATACTGACAGTGACATGAAGGGAGTGCTCCCCTTCAATTGTAACACCTTGATGGATAAAGCCTCTTGGAAAATAAAGTAAATCGCCAGCTTCTAAGGTGACTTCTAAAATTGGATCACCTATTTCATTTTGGTCAAAATTCTTTGATGAAACTCTAGGCAATGTTTCTTCATTGTTTCGTGGTTTGTATATACGCCAATGTTTCTTTCCTTCAGTTTGCAAGATAAAAGCTTCTATATCATCATAATGGGGAGCGAAGCCTTGAGAGTCTGGTGGTGTTAAATATGCATTGGCACCTACAAACGAGTTAAAGAACTCCTGAAGCGTTGCATTCAACAAATGAAGTTTAGGGATGTAAGTTTGTGGATTTAATAATCTAATACTGCAGCCATTTACATAGTAATCCCAAACTAGATATGGATGAGCTCTGCCTTCCGGATTATGTGTCTCTCGTTTCTCATTTACGTATGATGTCACATCAATGTTTTTAGTGAACTGTATGTTATCTTTACGCAACATCTGATCTATGATGGGTGTGGAGATTATTTCTTTATAGTAGCTAGGCTTCTTACGGGCGATGTGTAATGGTTTCTTTTCCCAAATTCGGTTCAGGAACTCATCAGGATTATATGGTGCTATCATCCACCTGAATGCTTTTAAACCTTCTTCAACACTATCTGTTTCAACTGGAGTGAATTCAAAACTACCATTATCTGAATGTTCACCCACTGTATCCTCATCACTTTTATTTTCAAAATAATTAATTAAAGCAGGTACTTGGTCACGTTCAGAATTGCTACGATTGCTCTTAGTACTTAAATCGTGTTGTACACTTTCAACAATTTTGGCATTTGCAGTAGATTCCTTAGACTGCTTGTTCTTTTTCTTTTTATGAATTTTCTTCTTTGCTATATTCTTTGATTCTTTTGATTTCTTCTGCGACTGTTTAACTTTTTGAGCTATATTAATCATAGTCGCATCATTCAAATTTTCTACTAAAACATTGGAAGGTTTCGCTTTTTTCTGTTTCTTCTTTTTGTTTGTTTGTTTCTTAGGTTTCTTATTGGTACTGTAAATTGCAAAGGCCGACACTGGCGAATCCATAGTTATAACTTAATGTAGGTGAAAATGGTTCTTTTATATATATATTTTACTCGCATATGTATAAAGTAAACTTAAAATTGTTAAACATTTACTTCACAGTCAAATACAGTTTCTATTATAATGAATTGTTTATAGGTTATGTATGTACTTCGTGTATTAGGTTAGGTAGAAAAGTTTCTCGCAGTGGTTGACGTTTATTTGACACTGTCATTGTGATGAAATATCTGTACAATACGTACAAGCTGCATCCAGAACCTATTGAAGAACCCAGAAACTTACAAACCTATTTTTGAGTCCGTCATATCAACATTTCAAGATTTATAACTTGTGAAGATAATTATTTTGAAAAAAATATAAGAACACACTACTGAAGACAATGGCTGTATGTGCTGAGTCCTTTTGACTTTCCCTGAAAAGCGAAAAACAGAACCAAAAAAAAAAACAATACGTACAAGGCAAGTGTACATATCCATACAGCCTAATCCCATGAAAATCTTACTAACATTGCTAATGTTATAAACGCGAAAGTTTGTGAATATGAATCGATAGTACCTACGTATATAGATTAGACTTGGTAGAGGTATAATAGACGCCTTTGCTTGCCATCAGCCAAGAGTTTTTTCATTTATAAGTACATTTTCTAAACTACTCACATTTATATTATTTTTTTGTTAGATTAAATCTATTGAAGTGTTAGGAATGAACCTTCCGCCATCTTTACTAATTAATTTTTTTATCTGTCTTTATTATCGGGGAGCCAGTTAGAAAAACAAAATATATACAGTTTTCTCTATTGCCGTCTTCTAATTATAGAAGTATATAGGTACTTATAACAATACTGAAGGGGTATAAATGAAACAGTGATACATTTTCAAGCCCATTTATTTATGAATTACTTCAGATACAGTTTCTCTATAATGCAGTTAATTCATCCAAGGCATGTGTAATCGAGATCTACCTTCTATTATACACTAATTAGATATTGATATCTTTATGTATTGATCATACGATTATTCGTTTATTACACATATATTAGATATTTATATTTAATTGGTTACACATTTATAACATTAGTACACAATTTCCGATAATTTATATAATTGTTGTGATAAAATACTCATTTGAATGTGCTCAAAATTCGATAGACAGTCACTCCCTGTATAATATTATTGCTCTAAATAAAAACCATATGATCGTTTATTTCGGGCATATAAATATAATTATTTATTTAAATCCATTTATATAATTTTAGATTTACTTATTTAAGGAAATACCTACATTTGTTATTGTTTAAATAAATAAATATTTTATTCAATAGATATACATCTTTCATAAGTTTTTTAATATTGTCATTTGATTGCATTTCGATTCAAAATTATTTTAGATGATTTATAGTTTTGGATCCGCACAAAACGTCGCAACACAAGCGCAATGCTGTAATGATTTGATCATTTGACTCACAGCCATACGTTATTAAAGCAAATTGATAGTTTCTATAGTGGAATCTCTACAAATATAAACACAGACTACAAGAAAAGAGATGCTTCCTAAAATACTGCGTCGGTGATTACGTACATAGATGTGTAGGTACATACAAACATTTTTCTTACACTATACATATGTGTATAAACATTTTTTTTCTCTAATTTAATTATATTAAATACAAATCTTTAAGCTTCATAGATATAATTTAATTTTTCTATTTTCCTACGCACAATAATATATTTATTTGTTTTTATATGTACTTATTAGTTATTAAATCCAGAAACTACTAAATTATTGGTCATCTATCACACATAATTGATACGTACGTCAAATTTTACATCAATATTTTTTTAATTATATTCTTTACTTGATTATATAAACTAGATCATGCCATGATATCTCATAATCATGCACTCGAGTAGCGTAGAACTCGTAAGTATATTGACGTTTACAATTCTCAAAAGAAGCGACATATTATATACATTTGTAACGACAGATCTCGAAAATGAAAAGAAAAATTATGTACGTTATAGGAAGTACATATTCCAAAGAAACTCGACTTTCTTTGAAGGTAGGGGTTGTTGACAGGAGAGAGTAATTACATATTGAAAACAGCAGTAAGATGAAAAATGAGAGAGATGGAAACAGTGAAAAAGGTCGTATGATAGAATGAGCTAGTTAGTGTGGACACAGCTACGCTACTACCTTATTACCAACGTAGTGTTGCACCTAGGAAATCCTTTAGTCGTAGACTAATAATCATATTTTCACATAGTCCACGGAAATTAATTAAAGAAACTTTGTAAAATGAAATAGTATATTTTTATTGTAAAAACTCATATGTTTTCTTTTTTTCTTCGAGTTCGTCGCAGAATTAATCTGTTCGCCAAGTTCCACGCTATCAAGTGCCTGTTTTCTTTTATATCTACTAGTCCTCAAGCCAGAGCCTAATTTCATCTATTATTTCCTCTCTGCTGAATTTTTTTAAAATGGTTAAGACGGTCCTCGGAACCGAAGTTGACGTTCTAGGCTTCATAATACAATCTTAACCATTACAGAAGGTTTCAAACCGGGAGGAAATTGTTGTTGCAGGCTGGGGGGCCATAGATACGCATTTAGATGCGTTTGTACGCTTAGCATCGTTGTGGTATTTACCACAGAGTATACCTACGTACAGACCTTCTATTTTAAACCTTTCAATATACTTAAAAACCATCACCCCAGAACTTTAATATTTTTTAAAAACAAAATAAACCACCCATTTTAGGCAAGTATGGTAACTAAATTATTTTATAAGCTTTACATTTGATATGATAGTAATTTGAAATTGTGTTTTTAATAAATTCTTATTCAGTTACGTGTATATTTTTAAAGACGTATACATTTATAGAGGGACTAGATAGTCAGTCTATTTTCATATTACACTGTTTTGTCAGCATTTGAATATATATTCTCCGACCTCTCATCAGTGTTAAAAGCACGCGTAAATATTTCAAAATCAATTAGAAAAGTGTGAAAAATTGAAAAAGTTCGTCAGTCTTATTATACAATGCAAACTCAGATCAACCCAGGCGAGTTTTGAGTCCATTTTTCAACGCATGATTTTGAGGAATAATATTTTTTTGGATATCCAAACTCAAAGGACGGTACTCGATAAATGGTTATTAATTTTTTTTATTACATAATTTATTATAGTGACATTCTATGACTCTATGATATAATATTATGAAAGGTATAATTCAACACTCTTATATATATAAGGTATGCTTCAGAGCTAGACTACATAGTTTTAGTTCCGTGCATAAGCTTAGAAAATCTTAAAATACTTAAAATAAACTTAAAATAAAGACAGCATCATCTTCAATTACCTTACAAAAATATCCTTTATCATCCCGCGATCTTACTTAGGTACTGTCGTAGATCAAACATTACTTATATCCAATCAAACATTTCGTGGCGTCATAAGAAAGAAATTATTATATTTAATATACATATATTACGACATTGTCAAAATATGTATCTACTAAAGAACTTGCTACATACATTTAGAAGCGAACTTATATATTAAATGATTTCGCAAACCTTTTACATGTTAAACTTCCTTTAATCTCTTCATAGATAGGTCCAATCGTTGTCAGATTATAAAAAGGATATTTAAAAACAAATTCAAAAAGTAAGTTTGTAATCTACCATTGAGGAATATATTCCTATAAATACATAGCTACAATTGAATGCTTCCCATTTCGTTTATAGAGTGAACTGCGACGTACAATAGACCTTTTTGATGTCGATTTTTTTCATTATCTAGTAATGGAAAAGTCGAAATATTGGATGGTGTTCTTATATAAAAATCTACAAGAAACTGCTGTCCGGTCACGTGTGAATCGTTAGCTTTTAATTTTTACACTGTATAAAACGAAATCGTTTCCGCTGGCTGTTCGCTTAGATCTTTTAAACTACGTAACGGATTTTAATGTAGTTTTTTTTAATTCAACATGGTTTGTAATATTAATACATGTATGTACATACATGCGAAGCCGGGTGGGTAGCTAGTTAATTATAAAACACAGTTATAGAATCTGCTCTTACATAAGGTTCTCATAATATTATAGTTATATTGTCGTTGTAACTAATATTATAAATTCAAAAGTGAGTTTCTTACACTTTCACTACAATATTAATTTTGGTACAGCACAAGGGATGGAGAAAACTATAGACCATTTTTTATCCCATGATAATGCACAGATGACAGAAGGGTTAAGGTCCGTTAAGGGTCGGCAACTCGCACGTGTCACTCCTGGTGTTTCAGGCGTCCATAGGCTACAGTAACCGTTTACCATCAGATGGGACGTGTGCTTGTAAACATCATAGTATAAAAAAATAATTTGCGGGCAAAATGTAGTAATGGATATAAAAAGGAAGCATCCAACTGTTACAAAACTGTATCATTACCCAAAGGAGATATGCTAAAAATGATAAAAATTAAAATACACGAAAGCTGAAGTCCTTTAATTTGGGACCGTCTCTTCAATGTACCCTCATATCTCTGGCGTGGACGGGAGTAGTGTCCTCGGGGCTGGGACTATCATCCAAGTGTGGTCTGATGTGTACCACCGAACGGCGCTGGTCGTGGTGACTGTAATCATCCCTCATCACAAGACCACCGATCCCGTATCCTGGGCCCATCACCCCGGAGCCGCTGAGGCGCATCTTTTCGGGATCCTCATCAAGCTTCACAGAGGAGAACACCGTGCTGAGGTTCAGTTGGGGTATATCGTAGAAGACGGTCAATGTCAGCATGAGGAATGTCAGCCCGATAAGAAGGTAGACTAGAAGAGAAGAGAGTTACATTACTAAAGTAATAAAATGATGTACCAGAGGCAGATTTTGTACAAAATTGTCCGCGTAGATACCTCTTTCTCACTTATTTCAGCCGTTGATCAGCTGTAAACTGTTTTGCTAATAACTGTTAGACTAACTCACTGTACCATGGGAAACAAATATACCGAAAGGCCATAAAAACAAATAAATATTCTGAACTAATAAACGAATTAACGAAAAATGGTTAATTTATATGCGGGCGAAGTGGGAGCGAGAGGTATACCAGCGAAATCTATTTAGAATCTTCTAAAAGATCTTGGCCTATCTAGAACTGCAGTAAGTTATATATTAGAACCTATATCTAAAGCTGCACTAGCAGGCTCATACCACATTTGGCTGGGCAGGGAGATAAACACGAGTGGTGAAGCTGATTGTTGACGTACGTCGAAAATAGGCCCCTTAAATCTACAAACCGGGGTCACAAGTCGCGGGAACTGCTTGGAGTTGCCATCTCTGCCACACGTTGGACCCGGCACCAGCACGGTGAATTCATGGAATGCAAAGTTCGTCTCAATACTCACAAGTGGTAGCGACTTTGTAGAGAGGCCGGTGCACTTGGCCGGGCGAGTCACCAGGGATGTAATCTCCCAGTCCAATGGTCGTGAGAGAGATGAAGCAGTAGTAGAAGGAGTCGAGGAAGTCCCAGTCCGGCTCGAGGTTAGCGAACACGGCTGCTGGCACCACCAGAAAGAAGACTACCAGAGTTGTTACTGCAAAAAAGAAAGTAAGTGCTATACATGAGGAAAAAGATTTTTGGATTTCGAATTTATTTCTTGATGAGTTGAGCGTATGAAATTTATATAGAGGAGTGCAAAAAACAATTTTTTTTAATTATGCATATCTTGTTTATTATTAAAGCCTGTGCTCAAATTGAGAATAGATTAATATTGTTTATATTTAATATTACTTGTCTGTACTCTTACTGAATGTTAAATTAATTATGGTCGAATTTCGACCACTGGTACCACTACTAACTCTTCGCCGAACAGTCAACACTAGGCTTCCAAGCTATATGAGAACTCCATTCAATGCCTGATGATGCCTCGTTCAGAGGCGAAACACGACGCAATATGGGTGTAGACTCAATAACGGTCGGAATTTGATCACCAATAGAGAAGGTCGTAACGGTAGTCAAGTTTCCGCACTGAATATTTGTGGTCTTAAAAATGCTAATTGTAGCGGAATTAAACAATATAATGTAAAACAATTAAGTAGTGAAATGGACTTTAGCAAAATAATAAGAATTGTATTTTTGCTTCACATATTTCATACAAATAATTGATGAAGTCCCTTGTATCTATGTTTCAGAAGTCATATTGTGATGTACTTATAAGTGAATTCATCAGGATATTTTACATACTACTTAATAAAATAAAATATAACTAACCAATGATCATGAGATGCACAAGTCGTATAGAGAACGGGCGGTATAGATGCCCAAGGGATGCATTCAAGGCCCTCAGCAGGGCTGTGGCCGGCAGCAGCAGGCGCTCCACCAGCGCAGACAGCAGCACCAGGGTCAGAGGAATCCCCAGCAATGCGTAGATCATGCAGAACATCTTGCCAGGCTTCGACAACGGTGTTACGTGGCCGTAACCTATACGTAGGATTTGTGAAATTCATTATGTAAACCAGCCTTCAAATGATCATCTTATGTATAAAATTGACATGTCACAATATTAGTTACTATTTTCCTCCGAATCGGCTTGATCGATTGATCGAATTTTATATGCATATTCAGTAGGTCTGAGAATAGGCTTCTATTTTTCATACCCCTAAGTGATAAGGGTTATCAACTCCTAACATAAAAAAAGACATACAACCCTAAACCTTCACCCTTTTGTCGCCAACCCCTATTTTTTAATAGCAATTTTAATTTATATGGAAAAATAACATTTGCGGAATCAGCTAGTAGTTTATAAAAACTTTATAATGTAAACTGTATTTAGTGTATATACACTAAAGACAGTTTACATTCAGAAACAGTTTACAGTCAGAAAGTTAACTAATAAAATTTTGTTAGTTAATTTTCGGACTATCCTTTTCACAAATTTCTCCAAGATTATTAGAATATAATACGGTCTCGGCCAGCCTACGGTTGGTCTAGCGGTTTAGTACACTGCCTTCCGATGGTCTCGGGTTTGATTTTATCGTTTGTATCGGTCTGGGTGTTTTCTATATTTATTCCAGGCGGAAATTGGCCTTCATCCGCTCCATAAGTCCTTCCGCGGGTGTGGAGTGCCATCTGCACTGGCCACTTATTGTCCGGTGAAGCTGTAAAGGCCAGCTGCGAACAGCATTACGGTACTCAAAAAAAAAATTCATGTAAGTATTTACAAAGAAATGTAACTAAGTATTAATATCAGTCGTCTATATAGTACATTACACTATTTCTGCTTAATTTGGGACTAGATGGCGCTGTGTGATCTATGTGTCTATGAGTTTATCTATTTATCAGTTTATCTATGTATTTGTATATTTTTATAAAGTAATATTTAATTCCAGTATGTTACCTATGGTGGTGACCACAGTTGACGAGAAAAACAGCGACTGGCCAAAACTCCAGTTGGGACCCCCGCTAGAGTTACGCGATGCCGACACTCCTCGGTTGCTGGCGCGCACCACCTCCTCCAGGAGTGTCTCCAGGTCATCATCTGAACACAATACAGATAAATCTTCAGAAATAGTTCAAATTCAAATTATCTTTATTCGTGTAGGTATATTATAGTCTCTTATGATATGAAAAAGAGAAAATTTCATGTTTAACACATTTCATTTTAAAGTAAGATAAAAAGAGATAATGTGTCAAAAACATGATGTATAAAAAGGACAGTTCTAAAAATATAAATTTAAAAATAATAAATATACCATAAGAGTTTATGGCAATCGATCGCCGATATACTTCCCAGCATAAAAGTACAAAGAAACAGTGTGTATGTGTAAGGATAATATCTAATACCTATGAATGATTTGAAAAGATAGTATTTTGTAACGAATTTCTTTTGAAATCTATGAAATATATGGATAAATACAATTCTATAAATAGAAGACGGCTGGCAGAGCTTTGTCGCCTAGTTACTAATACCTAAAAGGTAAAATGTATCTATGCCAGAATCTATACCATAAAGAGTGAGAATTTTGTGAATTTGTGTACGGTAAAGCTTTGAAATCAAATGGGAACGAAATTACGGCGAACTGGGCCAAAGTTCGAATCCCTATCAGTGCTATCAGACTAAAGTCGTATCCGTCAGACAGGAGTTGGTCTTCAACCGCATACGTCTTTCCGAGGGTTTGGGTGTGCCATCTGCACTCTTCCAGTATCGTTTGGTGAAGTTATAAAGGCAAGTTGCGGCCAGTCGGCCTTTTCGAACTTTTCGAACAATCTAATGCAGTCGCTTTAGATAGTTCGAAAAGACTATATTTGATGACCTCGGTGGTCTAGCGGTTAAGCATACCGCTTTTCTTCCGATGGTCGCAGGTTCGATTCCTCGCACGGTGCAAAACTTTTGTATTCATGAGTATGATAGTTTATATCCGTCTGGGTGTATTCTATGTATATTATATATGTATTTAAAAAATAAACTGATATAAATCTGTGTATTAACATATATCAGTTGTCTACTACCTATAACACAAGCTCTGCTTAACTTAAGACTAGATGGCGCTGTGTGAATTGTCCTAGGATATTATTATTATTGTTCAACCTGAGTGAAGTCGATATTGGACACTAGATAATAATAATTATGAAAGGATATTAAAGATGTCAGGTCACTTCATCTCCATCCACATATATAACAGGACGTATGGTTTCTTCTTCATTATAGGGATAGCGTGGAGAAAAATTTGATAGCTATGAGGCCAATTGGCGCTAACTTACGACTTAGTAAGCAACTGGCAAAACATAATCTCAGTGAAAAAACCTATAATCTCTTTGAGGAAATATGTTGGTTCTCCATTTTAATACACGCCGTGGCCTACTTCTTCTTCTTTAGGAGCCATCTCCTATTGGAGGTTGGCGATCATTATGGCGAACCTTACATTGTCCGCGGCGGTCCTGAAAAGGGACCTGGTGCTAATCCCAAACCACTGCCTGAGGTTTTTCAACCAGGAAGTACGGCGTCTGCCTGGTCTTCGGCAACCCTGGTTTTTGCCTTGTATTATTAATTGCAGAAGTCTGTATTTTCCATTCCGCATTATGTGACCCAGGTATAGCAGTTTACGGCGTTTGATGGTGTTTAGTACTGGCTAGCCGTGGCCTACATTAAATCAAATGAAATGAATCAAAGGAAAAATGGGTAAGAATATACATCATAACCTCAATTTGTTACAATAAAGCATCAAAATCTTGGAATTGGCTCAAACAAAGCCTTTAAGAGCTTATAATTAGCTGTGAAGGAAAAGTAATAAGAAGATATTAATTTTAATAAGAAAATGAGAGCGTATTGTATAAAATTAGGGCTGCCATAAGTTGGAATTTACTTAGGGTTACTTTCTTTTTTAAAATAGTAATGAATATCTTTATATATATATATCCTTGCAAGATGGTAGTTTGAGAATGAAAGCAGTCAGGTTAGAGCCCAGTTTGACAGCCCTATGTAATAGGGTGTAGGTACGTCACAACTGTGTGCTTACCAGTAATGTGTTGTTTAAATAATTTTAGCCTAATCACAATTTTTTTTCGGACTACTCTAATGCTGTTGCTCGCAGCTGGCCTTTACAGCTTCAGCGGACGATAGGGGGCGAGTGCAGATGGCACTCCAAACTAAAGGAAGGACTTATGGAGCTGCTGAAGGCCAACTCCCGCCTGTTAGATACGACTTTAGTTTGAGTGCACTGCTAGGGGTTCGAACCTCGGCTCAGGCCGTCGTAATTTCGATCCCCGTTTGAATTGGATGGGGAATCGATCGGAGGGGGTCACACAATATGCCGGAATAAAAGATTTCCCTGAACACGACAGTTTTAGTATATAATACATGATATTGCTGGTGTAACTCCTATTTGCCATTATACTCGTATTATAATATTTTGCATCACGTATTAATAAATAGATTTAAAAAAAAGCTAAAATATCTACATCCTGTGATGATCATTTCAACCTTGTTGCATCATCATCATCATCATCATGTAACCTTTGTTCGATTTTGTTATTGGATTATATCTGAATAATGCTTCTATTAATTTTATCCTTATGCTACGTTTACATTCAGTCGCTTCCCCTGCCACTCGCGCTGCTGGAAATATTGCCGAGCGACAACTGAGCGAGACGGCTGAATGTAATAACACGCTGCCACTACCGCTGCCAGTCCTTTGACTCGCGCACGAAAAACCGACAATCGAGGGAGCGCCGGGCAGCGCGAGTGGCAGCGCCAATGACATGGGAAGTGTTTCCACTCGTGTTTACACTCTCGCGCTGCTCACTTCCCTGTCCACTCGGGCTGAGTGTAAACTGGGCATTAAATTTATAGTTATCAGTTATCTTAGTTTAGAAAAAAATTGTTCGTTTCTACCAAACAAAATTATTTTTTTTTTTCAAATTAACAAGATTTTTCTTACAAAAATTTCATAATGATACATAACACTTGCTAGATTACCTGTGATGACTTTCCTGCTTTTGGTTTATGTGCGACTTTTGGGACATTCTGTATAGCCTTGATTATATAGTCGAGGTACTCTTTGACTACACTGTTATACAGGATGTCAGAAATTATTGACTACCTTATTACTAAGTATTTATATATTTTATCTATAGATATCATTCATAATACGTGCCTAATTGCTAAATTATTTTAAAGAGTTTACCTAATATACTTTTTATAAGAATTCTTTTTTTTTTTTGATTTTTTTTTTCTAGATAAGAGCACAAATAATAGTTCCGAAAAGTGATCATTTGTGTATAATTTCTACATCGCGGTGGCCGACTTGTTTTTAATCAGGAGCGAAATAGAGAGGAATACATTCTTAAAACGCAATATACACATATTTATTTGGGTTTAATTTACCTATATGGTCCAAGATCTTAGTTCAGGTTGTACAGCACTAAATAGATATCATTTTGGCCGATTTTAATAGGACAAGTACTGTATTTTTTTGACTTTACGTTTATTATATAACAACATAGTTAAGCCTTCTCGGATTTTTGTTAATAACCTATTATTATAAAGTCTATTTAATTATTATTGAATTTATTATGGTAATTAATTGTCTTCTTTAATAAGGTACCAATAAGAAATATTAAATATATTAAAGCTCATAATAAAATATTATGACCTGAAAACAAAGATAATTTTCTTATAAAATGGATAGAAAATTAAATGGTGCGTGGGATTTTACTGCAAGGCGTGTTTCTAAAATTAAAGTTAAATATTCTTTTTTACACAGAGCATCGTGGTAAGAAGACATAATGAGGTTAATTATTTTTTTTATGTTCCGGTATTGACTCGGTATCCAACGTAGCAGGGCGGGCGGAAATGCCCACGCATTTCCGTCTTCCAGATTAATTATCATACACTAGCCGTGCCCGCGGTTCCCCACCCGCAAGAAATTATCCTATATTTTATTCTATATAAGCTATATTATTGTAGTTTCATTAAATTTTCGAAAATAAGCAAAAACATATACATAGTCTCAAAAAAAAAAATGATGTAAGTACCTTATTTTCGTATGCTTCTAGTGTAAACCAGTTAATTTTTATATCTCAGAACAATTCACACAACGTCATCTAGTCCCAAGCTAAGCAGAGCTTGTGTTATGTATTAGACAACTAATATAAATACATGGATACATTTTTTTTTGTAAATAAATACATATTACACATACAAAACACCCAGACCGATACAAACAATCATACTCATGAATACAAATATTTGTACCGTGCGAGGAATCGAACCCGCGACAATCGGATAGTAAAGCGGTGTGCTAAACCAATTTGAAATGCCACATTAATTTTATTTATTTGTTTCTACATATACCAATCAAAATCTGAATAAAATCGTCAAACCTTATAACCAATACCTATTCATATACATTAATTTGACGGCCTCGGTGGTCTAGCGGTTTAACACACCGTCTTACTTTCGATGGTCGCGGGTTCGATGCCTCGCACAAACATTTGTATTCATGAAGTATAATTGTTTGTGTCAGTCGAACTATTTTCTAAGTACAATATGTATGTATTTACGAAAAAAATATCCATGTATTTGTATTAGTTATCTAGTACCCATAACACAAGCTTTAGCTAGCTTAACTTGGGTCTAGATGGCGCTGTGTGAGTTGTCCTGAGATTGTTATTATTAATTTAGGGGGTTCAAATTGCATTATGACGTCCGTACTACCACATGTGTTGCCATTCCGGAAATTATAATGCAAATTTCAAACTGGAACACAACTTGTACTAAAGCAAAGCAAGCTGCTGGCGGCTGAATTAGTTAAGATATAGGTACGACTTTGTGGGAAGTTTCGCTCCAGCAAAATCATGCTCTATTCTACGCAGGAACGACGTGAAATTTTCAATTATAACTTACTGTAAGTCTCTTTCATACTGAAATCCGGCCTTGGCTCGCTCAAAAAGGTTTCCCTTGAATGTAGGAAACATTATTTACATTAAGAGGCTTACATACTTAGTTTTCGTTTCGTGAATAACCCGCTAATTGCAAAA